TGTATGCGTATATATTTTCCCCATAAGGTTCCCTTTTAATTTTAGTCAGTGTTGTGCAAAAATGTCTCACCCTCTTTCTGACCTTTATATATATATATATATATATATTGTTTTTTTTCCCTTAAGTCTCCTATGTAAACGCTTACTTTGCATGAGTAACAGTTCAATGCTATATTTATTTTGAGCTTTGGGTTTACTGTTTAGTCCAGGGGTCAGGAATTTTTACCATTATGATGGCAAAAAATGTTTCCCCATTGAGTTTCATTCAAAAGTAACCCTTTATTCTGATTCTGACATTTTTTTCCAAGCAATTATCTATAATTATGACCATTTGTATTTGATTATGTAATATGGTATATAATAGGATATAGAATTTAAAATATTAATTAACATAATGATTAATGCGACATATATTAACAAGCAATAATGTAGTTTTTTTTAATCAGGCACCAAATAGAGAACACTTTATTTACTTTGGGGTCCAAGGAGGATATGATTTTGCACAACACCAATACAAATTTGCCAACTTGTATGGCCTCTAAAATAAAAGGCAAGTGGTTACCAGCATCACTTATGTAGGCTACTAGTAGACCTGTCATTCACCTCGTTCCCATGGTTTTGCAAAAACTCCACTTCCTGTTGGGAGAAGGTTGTCATGGAAATAGACTTAACTCTGTGGGGTGGGTTGAGCCCTCTCCTGAAACAGAAACAAACCGCAAGCGCAAACTGTGTGGTTAAACACGAAATTGGGAGAAAACGTTCAATGGGTTGTCATTTATTTTAATACAAACAGGAGAAACGTGCAAGATAAACAGTGCAGGACGTGACAGGGCTGTGAACGTGAACAAGAACCTCTTGCAGCCACAAATTACAAAACCGTGAAGGAAGCGTGCTGCTTTTTTTCTCTCTTTCTTTTTTTCTTTTCTCTCCAGTGCTAGTGAAGAACTAGCTATTAGTGTTCGTAAGTGCAGTTGCATACTGAAATCGTGTAGAACTTGCAGTAGTACCGCTCAGTGGAATCACACCATTCCTTTGCTGTCATGCAGAAGACACGCTTATATTGATGCCAAACCTGAAATCATGACGAAATGATACGTAACGCAAGCGAGACCGGGACACGCCTGAAAACAACAAAGTAGTAATTACCGACTGTCTTGAATGTAAACACAACTAGAGATCTCTCAAACTCACGCGGACAGCGCCGCATTGTAGCCACATATTTTCCGGAGTTTGCTGAAGAATGCGCTTACAAATCTTGACATGTAATAATCACATGCATTATTACTCACAGCATTCCGGAGCATGACGTGCATACGAAGCAGCCCACGGTGATGTCGATGTAAGTCACCCCGGGTTGGTTGCACTCGAAGCAGTGCTTGTTCACTCCCGTCTGGGCGAGCTCTCGGACCTTGCGGGCGCATATCTCCTGGTTGTCCCGGTGTTTTCGGTTCGACATGCTGGTGCCCTGCAGTCGCGCGCACTCCCTGGCCCTCAAGACTGTTGTGGGGGTGCCGTTCACTCGCCCGTCGTCGCACTTTAATTCCCCCGCCGTAGTACGTTTCTTCTCACGCCTGCATTCTGAAAGCGACTATGCGGCTGGTGGTCTTCTCATGCACTTGAATTGACATGAAACGATCTTACATGCGTAGTCTCCCGTGGTCACGACTGGCCGATCCGCCCGGGGGTTTTCCAACCGCCCTGTTTATTTATTCATTGCTGGGCGCAAAGACAATTCGATTCTCACGGGCGCGGGATCATTATTCTTCCGCGCTCTGCTGAGTCCTCTCCGTTCGCACAGTGTCACACCGTTAACGGCGCGCAGACTCTGCTGTTGCGCACCCGATTCTCCGATTCTGAGGAGATTGCGAACAGAAACCAAGACGAGGATGGAGGAGGCAACTTAGTGCACACTGTGCCTCTGGAAAGCGAATAAACGCAGCGGGATAAGTGGGGACTAATCTGCTTAACAGTATTTTGTTTACGATGGCTGTGTGCTGATTATTTTGTGCTTATTTATTCCCAGTGTTACCCAGCAATGTGAGATTTTTTATCTCGGACACGGGTAGGGTTTATCACGCCCTTCTGTATGACGTTTGAAATAAAAAATGCTGTCCTGTCGTAAATATTAACTCTTTACATGAAGTACCCAATCAATATTCAGTGTGGACTGTGGACCACGACTGAAAAAAAAAAGAATAGCATAATGATCAAAACGAAAACACTTTTGATGAATTTTAAGTGAGTGCATCCTTTTGACGCATTCTTGTATTAAGTAACATTAACGGAGACATCTCGCCAGTTATACTGATGTAACGTTGGCCTGGTTCCTGGTCTTGCAATGAGTGAAAACACAGGATGCGTGAACTGCAGTGGCAACTTCCAACCAGCAGAGGAAGCGGTTTCGCCAAACATCCGATTTAGTTGTAAGGGTCATTTAAATTGGTTAACCGAAATGTAATCTATAAGGTCACTACCCAGATAGCACACGTACGTCTGCAAGATGTCTGTTAAGGATCGCTTCATCTGGAAAGCATCTGCTGTGTACAAACATCTGACAGTCAGTTTTACTTACATGCTAAATCATAAACATCTTAAAGACATTTTCTAAACGTCTATTTGACATCTGATAGACGTATTGCAGATGAGCAAACACTCGTGTATGTCTTGCAAATGTAAATGCAGACTTCTGATAGACGTCTCCATGATGTACGTGTGCTATCAGGGTACAGTTGCCATATTTCCAAGGGTTTCTGCAGGTCTTATACTCAAGGTCTCAAGACTTAATTCAAAGTTAGTTTAAAACGAGAAAATATATCTGTCAATGAAGTATGAAAATGTATTTTCCCTTTGAACTAATTTGATTTTTATGAGCCTATTGGTAGATATTTGTTCTTGCTTTAATCATAAATCTACTTAATTTTTTTATCAGTTTCACGGAAAACAAGGCTTCTTGTCTTATATCATTTTGCTTATCAAGTAAATGTATCTTGATTTAAGAATATTAAGACATTTGCACTGGAAAACAAGAATTTCTAAGGAAAAACCAATTTTGCAGTGTGTTCAGGAGGGTGTAAAAGTTATTTCCATATTCTCTAGTGGTTGGGAACACAGGTATTCAAGCCTCAATAATTTTTTTACTAATTAAAAAGTAATGGAAATGTAATCTGTTGGAAGTTGTATCTTTAAACTTTAACGTGTTGCTAATTTTCCACAATTTTCAAAAACTCATTTTTTGCTCCACAGACACTTACATTTAGGACATATTGTGTTCCCTTCCATTTATTCTGTATTTTTTAATTTTTTTACTTGGTCTTAAAAAGGCCTTTAAAAAGTCATACATTTATCTCAATAAAACCTGCAGAAACCATTTTTGTTGTTTCGATATGAATTCGTTTACTATTATCAGAGCTGGGTAGATTACTTACAAACTGTAATCTGTTACTGATTCCAAATTACATGACAAAAATTGTAGTTTGTAACGTAATCCATTACATTACACATTTCAGGTAATATAATCAGATTACTTTTAGATTACTTTTGACCTTACTCAATTATCACATTGATTTAAATAAGAAAATCTTGCACCATATTGATATAAAAAATAAAAAAGAAGATATATATATTCCATTAGTTGAAATTAACAACATAAAATGGATTAAACATTACATTACGTCAAGGTTTCCCAAACTGGGGTTTGTGAAGGAACTGCAGGAGGTTTGTGAGTTTAACAAAAAGTGAATCATTAATTAAACCATAAAAATGTAAAATTAAAACAAATAATTTTAAAATAACATAAAAAGAAATAAAACACTTCCTAAAAAAATTAATTATTTTATTTGTTTACCATATCATGTGACCATTATCCAACGTCAGAGAACCGTGAACATGCAGATGTGATACTTAATTATTAAAATATTTATTTTAAAATTTTACTTAAGTAAATATATTAGTTGAAAGATGTTCAGATGACAAAAAAAAGTTTGGGAATGCCTGCATAAATAAGAAATAATGTGAATTTGTGCATTTTAATGTGTTTGAAAGACAAATGCCTTCCAAAGACATTGTAATAGATGGTTAAATAACCTACTGGATGATAATTCAAATAAAAATGAATTGTGGTCATCAGTAGTTAAATCAACGTTGAAACACTTGAAATGATTTTTGTAAATCCAGTGGTCAAATGCTGTGTAGCCATCTGACAAGTGACTGATCTCTGTGTGAATGTCCACAAAATCTATCCCTGGTATTTTCTATTAATAGAATTCAGAGTATGTTACATATGAGGCTGTTCATGGTTAAAATGAGAGAATATACAGTATGTCTATGCAAAATATGTTCTATATTTGTGTTTTTTTTTTGTTTGGTTTTTTTTGAGACTTTTTGTGGCTTTTATATTGTTATTCAGTTTTAACACTATATATCCTTTATATATGTATGCATATATATTTTCCCCATAAGGTTCCCTTTTAATTTTAGTCAGTGTTGTGCAAAAATGTCTCACCCTCTTTCTGACCTTTATATATATATATATATATATATTGTTTTTTTTCCCTTAAGTCTCCTATGTAAACGCTTACTTTGCATGAGTAACAGTTCAATGCTATATTTATTTTGAGCTTTGGGTTTACTGTTTAGTCCAGGGGTCAGGAATTTTTACCATTATGGTGGCAAAAAATGTTTCCCCATTGAGTTTCATTCAAAAGTAACCCTTTATTCTGATTCTGACATTTTTTTCCAAGCAATTATCTATAATTATGACCATTTGTATTTGATTATGTAATATGGTATATAATAGGATATAGAATTTAAAATATTAATTAACATAATGATTAATGCGACATATATTAACAAGCAATAATGTAGTTTTTTTTTTAATCAGGCACCAAATAGAAAACACTTTATTTACTTTGGGGTCCAAGGAGGATATGATTTTGCACAACACCAATACAAATTTGCCAACTTGTATGGCCTCTAAAATAAAAGGCAAGTGGTTACCAGCATCACTTATGTAGGCTACTAGTAGACCTGTCATTCACCTCGTTCCCATGGTTTTGCAAAAACTCCACTTCCTGTTGGGAGAAGGTTGTCATGGAAATAGACTTAACTCTGTGGGGTGGGTTGAGCCCTCTCCTGAAACAGAAACAAACCGCAAGCGCAAACTGTGTGGTTAAACACGAAATTGGGAGAAAACGTTCAATGGGTTGTCATTTATTTTAATACAAACAGGAGAAACGTGCAAGATAAACAGTGCAGGACGTGACAGGGCTGTGAACGTGAACAAGAACCTCTTGCAGCCACAAATTACAAAACCGTGAAGGAAGCGTGCTGCTTTTTTTCTCTCTTTCTTTTTTTCTTTTCTCTCCAGTGCTAGTGAAGAACTAGCTATTAGTGTTCGTAAGTGCAGTTGCATACTGAAATCGTGTAGAACTTGCAGTAGTACCGCTCAGTGGAATCACACCATTCCTTTGCTGTCATGCAGAAGACACGCTTATATTGATGCCAAACCTGAAATCATGACGAAATGATACGTAACGCAAGCGAGACCGGGACACGCCTGAAAACAACAAAGTAGTAATTACCGACTGTCTTGAATGTAAACACAACTAGAGATCTCTCAAACTCACGCGGACAGCGCCGCATTGTAGCCACATATTTTCCGGAGTTTGCTGAAGAATGCGCTTACAAATCTTGACATGTAATAATCACATGCATTATTACTCACAGCATTCCGGAGCATGACGTGCATACGAAGCAGCCCACGGTGATGTCGATGTAAGTCACCCCGGGTTGGTTGCACTCGAAGCAGTGCTTGTTCACTCCCGTCTGGGCGAGCTCTCGGACCTTGCGGGCGCATATCTCCTGGTTGTCCCGGTGTTTTCGGTTCGACATGCTGGTGCCCTGCAGTCGCGCGCACTCCCTGGCCCTCAAGACTGTTGTGGGGGTGCCGTTCACTCGCCCGTCGTCGCACTTTAATTCCCCCGCCGTAGTACGTTTCTTCTCACGCCTGCATTCTGAAAGCGACTATGCGGCTGGTGGTCTTCTCATGCACTTGAATTGACATGAAACGATCTTACATGCGTAGTCTCCCGTGGTCACGACTGGCCGATCCGCCCGGGGGTTTTCCAACCGCCCTGTTTATTTATTCATTGCTGGGCGCAAAGACAATTCGATTCTCACGGGCGCGGGATCATTATTCTTCCGCGCTCTGCTGAGTCCTCTCCGTTCGCACAGTGTCACACCGTTAACGGCGCGCAGACTCTGCTGTTGCGCACCCGATTCTCCGATTCTGAGGAGATTGCGAACAGAAACCAAGACGAGGATGGAGGAGGCAACTTAGTGCACACTGTGCCTCTGGAAAGCGAATAAACGCAGCGGGATAAGTGGGGACTAATCTGCTTAACAGTATTTTGTTTACGATGGCTGTGTGCTGATTATTTTGTGCTTATTTATTCCCAGTGTTACCCAGCAATGTGAGATTTTTTATCTCGGACACGGGTAGGGTTTATCACGCCCTTCTGTATGACGTTTGAAATAAAAAATGCTGTCCTGTCGTAAATATTAACTCTTTACATGAAGTACCCAATCAATATTCAGTGTGGACTGTGGACCACGACTGAAAAAAAAAAGAATAGCATAATGATCAAAACGAAAACACTTTTGATGAATTTTAAGTGAGTGCATCCTTTTGACGCATTCTTGTATTAAGTAACATTAACGGAGACATCTCGCCAGTTATACTGATGTAACGTTGGCCTGGTTCCTGGTCTTGCAATGAGTGAAAACACAGGATGCGTGAACTGCAGTGGCAACTTCCAACCAGCAGAGGAAGCGGTTTCGCCAAACATCCGATTTAGTTGTAAGGGTCATTTAAATTGGTTAACCGAAATGTAATCTATAAGGTCACTACCCAGATAGCACACGTACGTCTGCAAGATGTCTGTTAAGGATCGCTTCATCTGGAAAGCATCTGCTGTGTACAAACATCTGACAGTCAGTTTTACTTACATGCTAAATCATAAACATCTTAAAGACATTTTCTAAACGTCTATTTGACATCTGATAGACGTATTGCAGATGAGCAAACACTCGTGTATGTCTTGCAAATGTAAATGCAGACTTCTGATAGACGTCTCCATGATGTACGTGTGCTATCAGGGTACAGTTGCCATATTTCCAAGGGTTTCTGCAGGTCTTATACTCAAGGTCTCAAGACTTAATTCAAAGTTAGTTTAAAACGAGAAAATATATCTGTCAATGAAGTATGAAAATGTATTTTCCCTTTGAACTAATTTGATTTTTATGAGCCTATTGGTAGATATTTGTTCTTGCTTTAATCATAAATCTACTTAATTTTTTTATCAGTTTCACGGAAAACAAGGCTTCTTGTCTTATATCATTTTGCTTATCAAGTAAATGTATCTTGATTTAAGAATATTAAGACATTTGCACTGGAAAACAAGAATTTCTAAGGAAAAACCAATTTTGCAGTGTGTTCAGGAGGGTGTAAAAGTTATTTCCATATTCTCTAGTGGTTGGGAACACAGGTATTCAAGCCTCAATAATTTTTTTACTAATTAAAAAGTAATGGAAATGTAATCTGTTGGAAGTTGTATCTTTAAACTTTAACGTGTTGCTAATTTTCCACAATTTTCAAAAACTCATTTTTTGCTCCACAGACACTTACATTTAGGACATTGATGTATTGTGTTCCCTTCCATTTATTCTGTATTTTTTAATTTTTTTACTTGGTCTTAAAAAGGCCTTTAAAAAGTCATACATTTATCTCAATAAAACCTGCAGAAACCATTTTTGTTGTTTCGATATGAATTCGTTTACTATTATCAGAGCTGGGTAGATTACTTACAAACTGTAATCTGTTACTGATTCCAAATTACATGACAAAAATTGTAGTTTGTAACGTAATCCATTACATTACACATTTCAGGTAATATAATCAGATTACTTTTAGATTACTTTTGACCTTACTCAATTATCACATTGATTTAAATAAGAAAATCTTGCACCATATTGATATAAAAAATAAAAAAGAAGATATATATATTCCATTAGTTGAAATTAACAACATAAAATGGATTAAACATTACATTACGTCAAGGTTTCCCAAACTGGGGTTTGTGAAGGAACTGCAGGAGGTTTGTGAGTTTAACAAAAAGTTAATCATTAATTAAACCATAAAAATGTAAAATTAAAACAAATAATTTTAAAATAACATAAAAAGAAATAAAACACTTCCTAAAAAAATTAATTATTTTATTTGTTTACCATATCATGTGACCATTATCCAACGTCAGAGAACCGTGAACATGCAGATGTGATACTTAATTATTAAAATATTTATTTTAAAATTTTACTTAAGTAAATATATTAGTTGAAAGATGTTCAGATGACAAAAAAAAGTTTGGGAATGCCTGCATAAATAAGAAATAATGTGAATTTGTGCATTTTAATGTGTTTGAAAGACAAATGCCTTCCAAAGACATTGTAATAGATGGTTAAATAACCTACTGGATGATAATTCAAATAAAAATGAATTGTGGTCATCAGTAGTTAAATCAACGTTGAAACACTTGAAATGATTTTTGTAAATCCAGTGGTCAAATGCTGTGTAGCCATCTGACAAGTGACTGATCTCTGTGTGAATGTCCACAAAACTTGAAGACTTTCTTAGTGTATAAAAGCGGTATATTTTAGAAAGGAACATTGAAATCAAGGAGAACTGATGAATTATGAATAATTTATTACTATTGTGTGAATAATATGTAATCATGTAATCCATAAAAAAGTAACTGTAGTCTGATTACGAGTATTTTAAAATGTAATTTAATCTAATTACAAGTACTTAATTTTTGGAATCTGATTACGTAATCCAGATTGCATGTAATCAGTTACTACCCAGCTCTGGGAAATGTAATCTGTTGGAAGTTGTATCTTTAAACTTTAACGTGTTGCTAATTTTCCACAATTTTCAAAAACTCATTTTTTGCTCCACAGACACTTACATTTAGGACATTGATGTATTGTGTTCCCTTCCATTTATTCTGTATTTTTTAATTTTTTTACTTGGTCTTAAAAAGGCCTTTAAAAAGTCATACATTTATCTCAATAAAACCTGCAGAAACCATTTTTGTTGTTTCGATATGAATTCGTTTACTATTATCAGAGCTGGGTAGATTACTTACAAACTGTAATCTGTTACTGATTCCAAATTACATGACAAAAATTGTAGTTTGTAACGTAATCCATTACATTACACATTTCAGGTAATATAATCAGATTACTTTTAGATTACTTTTGACCTTACTCAATTATCACATTGATTTAAATAAGAAAATCTTGCACCATATTGATATAAAAAATAAAAAAGAAGATATATATATTCCATTAGTTGAAATTAACAACATAAAATGGATTAAACATTACATTACGTCAAGGTTTCCCAAACTGGGGTTTGTGAAGGAACTGCAGGAGGTTTGTGAGTTTAACAAAAAGTTAATCATTAATTAAACCATAAAAATGTAAAATTAAAACAAATAATTTTAAAATAACATAAAAAGAAATAAAACACTTCCTAAAAAAATTAATTATTTTATTTGTTTACCATATCATGTGACCATTATCCAACGTCAGAGAACCGTGAACATGCAGATGTGATACTTAATTATTAAAATATTTATTTTAAAATTTTACTTAAGTAAATATATTAGTTGAAAGATGTTCAGATGACAAAAAAAAGTTTGGGAATGCCTGCATAAATAAGAAATAATGTGAATTTGTGCATTTTAATGTGTTTGAAAGACAAATGCCTTCCAAAGACATTGTAATAGATGGTTAAATAACCTACTGGATGATAATTCAAATAAAAATGAATTGTGCTCATCAGTAGTTAAATCAACGTTGAAACACTTGAAATGATTTTTGTAAATCCAGTGGTCAAATGCTGTGTAGCCATCTGACAAGTGACTGATCTCTGTGTGAATGTCCACAAAACTTGAAGACTTTCTTAGTGTATAAAAGCGGTATATTTTAGAAAGGAACATTGAAATCAAGGAGAACTGATGAATTATGAATAATTTATTACTATTGTGTGAATAATATGTAATCATGTAATCCATAAAAAAGTAACTGTAGTCTGATTACGAGTATTTTAAAATGTAATTTAATCTAATTACAAGTACTTAATTTTTGGAATCTGATTACGTAATCCAGATTGCATGTAATCAGTTACTACCCAGCTCTGACTATTATGCTAAAACGTGAAAAATGAGTAGCAAGAGTAGACTTGCTACTACTTTGTTTACATAAAGAGAGAGAGAGATCAGTGTTGGTAAAGTTTTATTTAGCCTACATATGTACAGGCGTACAGTTGCTGCATGGGATTATTTTAAATTTACATCTCTGACTCGCAGTTTTTGCTTGTGTTTCGGTTTTTGCTTGATTTCTTTCACTGCTGTCAGGTGGGGCTTACTTATGAACAACAGGTTTAACCGGGACATGTATAAACTGCTAGCAGATTTAGTGACAAAAGCAGTGTGGCTTTGTTGACACGTGATGTAGAAACTGTGGGGAACACTCCCTGAAAAACCCTTCATATGAAACTGAGATGTGGAGGAATAGTCATTCACTTGTCTTTTCCCTATGAAATCAATGACTGGGCTATATGAGACGAGTCAAAATTAATGCTTAAAACAAGGTATCTTTTTCAGGTCACCTAAAACATAAACAATAAGTAATAACATTAGAAGCATAATAAATAAGTGTTAATCTCTCTTGAAAACAGCGAATCCACAGCCTGCTTTAATTTGTTGGTGCACCAGAATCCGAAACCCGGAAATAATGTGCGCTCGCTCGAAGTGGGGTGGACCAACTGTGTGGCAAATTCAAGAGCAGAAAAAAAAGTTCTCCTGCGAAGTGCGAACAAGTTTCAGTCTCTCAAGGGAAACGTAGGCTACACGGACATGCTGTTTGATGAGTTGAAGCACATATCGATGTATAAACTACGAACCTATGGACTAATAAATGGAAGAAACGCGCAGAATGGAACGTATAATGAGAGCGCGCTCTTGAACATTTAGAAAGAGATGAGGCCATAATTATCGGTATGGTTTACTTAAATTTCTTATACCAGTACTCGTTCTTTTTGTATTTATATTATTGACAAACTGTTATTCTTTTATTTTTATTTCCGTGACTCGTCGTTCAAGTGAATTACCTGGAAAACACAAACTTGGGTTTAGTTTTGAAAAGATGCTTTTCGCTTTAACAAGGCTACACCCGACTGACTGATATTTATAGCGAAACCATCCAATGGAAACGACTGGTTTAAGTCATCTTTTCTAAACGATTCCTGATGTTGTCAACACCAGTGCTCTCACAGCGTTGGACGTTTACAGCATAAAGGAACTCTATTGGGACAAACCACATAAAGAACTGTGAGGAATTAAA